TGAGAGCCCCTGAACATGCTTTCAGAGATCTTCTCTGCTACCTCTTCAAGGAGCATTTCTGTCTGTGCATCCAGGGTTTTGCTGATGCAGAGCAGTGACTGAGCAGCCAGAGGAATGAGACAAGGGAGGAAAATGACTGCAGGCAAGTATTGAAGTGTTCAGCTTGTCCAGCTGAAAGAGATTTCTGCCAAACGATTTTATAAGGAATGAGGCATTTTACAGGAAAAGCAGGGCCTCTGCTCTCATTTCCTTTCCCCTCTTCTCTATGAACTTCAAAGAAAAGAGGGGTCAAAACAGAGGCCAGGCAACTGGAACTGAGTTCCTGAGCCCTAAAGCCTAATTAGTCCAAGATACATTTCATTGGATGTGTCCCAGAGACAGGCCTAAATTACCAATCCTCCCCGCCGTGCTGCCAAGGGTCAGATAAAACCAGAACATAGTCCACAGTCTGCAGGGCCCCAGCAGCACCAGGGCTCTCAGGAGGGGGGTGTGCGTTTCTCAATGCAAGACCTGCTGGCGGCAGGGCTTTCCCAGCCCCCCCAGTCTTTGTGTGGTCACAGCTAAAACCCCTTCCCCAGGACAGGGATCGTGCCCACCTCCCTGCTGCCTTGTCCCAAGGCTGGTGGCAAAAGTCGTGTGGACTGAAACCCCCCAGCGCCGTGTGGCTGTTGCCCCTCATTCCATCAGCCAAGGCTCCCGAAGAGCCTTCAGCCATTTGCAGCTGCCCTCCCAGCAGCTTCAGGCTGATGTTAAACCCCTCTCCTCGACCGGGCAAGCCAAGACCACCTCCTGCCAGCTCTGCCTGCAGGCCAGGTGCCCCACGCCCCTTCTCGCTTTGCAGCTGTTTGCTGGTTCTCCACGATGGATGCCCAGCAGTGGGGATGACAAATGTCCCTTGACCCGTGTCTCCTTGCAGGGCCCAGCACGTGCTCTGCCTCACCTGCAGTGAGAAATAAAGCTTGTTTTTGCACAGCTTTAAGGACTCTCTGGAACAGCACGCTGATTTCAAGTCACACATCTCTCTCTGCAAGACACAGGTCTTGGAGTGGTTTTTTTTTTTTTTTTCCAGAACCCAGAAAAAGTATTCTGAAGAACAGGGATAGAAATGACAGGGGCAGTTTCCCCTGCACCGCAGCCTCTCTCAAGATGCTGGCCTCAAAGGGGTGCATCTTATTTTCAGGCTACAGCAAATGGGCTTTGGCGGAAGGGCTCATTTCCGGCATTGTGGTCTGAGGAAAGCTGAGAAAAGCAAAACTCTACTGCAGGTCACTAAACTGTAATTCAGAGAAATGCAGAGAAAGGACATCACTGTCATCATAAGCTTATGTGGCCTCCTAGTGCCATAGCACAGCTCTGGACCATAGGAAACTTAAGTCTTGCAGCTTGCAAGGCAGCGGGCAGTCACACATGAAGACAGCCAGCCGTCTGGCAGGGAAAGCGAGGTCCTCATGGTGTACAGCTACCCTAAGCTGTCATTCTGCACCCCAACCAGTGCCTGGACCCCGCTCCCCAGCCACTGCAGATGGGTTGCCTGGCCAGTGTAAGGCACAGCTCACTCCTGGCTTGGTGCTGAAGCTGCTCTAGGGTCGCAGGAGGAGAGTGCAGAAAGCTGACAACTTTTGAATCGGGAGGGATCTGAAAATTACTTTATTAAATTTTCTGCCAGGAAAAAAGGTAAAAGTCTTCCCTTAAAAATTTGGATTCCAAGGGACTTGCTCAGCTCTCACAGAAAGAGCAGGTCTGGGACTGATAAGAGAGACTGTTTATCTCCCTTTGCATCCATTTTCCGCTGGAGCCCAAATATAAAATGGAAACCTTTCCTTCCCTTATGTAACGCTCTGCCAGCGTCGGCATCCTGTGAGTGTTGGCTGGAGGGACCTCTGGAGGTCTCCAGGTGCAGGACTGCTGCCAGCACAAGATCAAGTTGGCTGGAGCTGTGTCTAGCCACAAAGCCAAAGTCTGCTTCTCGCGTGCCTGCACAGCATGGTGCATCGGGACCCTTTTTTCGGATGAAGTTCATGGTGAGTTCTGACTCACGGCACAGGGAGGTTGAGCTGGGGTGTTCATCTGCCTCTGCAGCTCTCGGGGAAGGAAAGCCAAACGGGGTATACACCAACACCCATCCAGTCTGTCAGAGCATTCCTGTGACAGTGTCACCTTTCAGGAAAATGCCATCCTGAGGACTGTGACAGTTCAGGACCAGGTAGACTGCCAGGTTTGGATTTTCCTGCTAGGGTCCAGTAACACGGGAGGGAGGGCAGGCAGGAGAGCAGCAGCTGAATTTACTGATGGATTGAGCCAGATTTCTCTGTGCTGCCAGCACAAAAATAGCTGCCATCTTTGGATTTCATGGCTTTGCTTTGTTACAGCCTCGTTACAGCCTTTGTTACAGTTTTCGAAACAACCTTCAACAGACATATAAATACACCTGTCATCGCAAACAAATACACTTAGAACGATTAACTGATACTTCCCAGCAGTAATCCCTGCACCTTTGTAATAGCAGTTAAAAAAAATGAGTTGGGATCACGGAGAGGAAACAACAGCATGCAAAACATTAGCCGTGTGCCTCACTCACTATTTTTTCAACTTTATGCTATTGGATTACTTTCTTAAGCACTCTGGGGACAGAGACAGCAAAGAACAGCTTTCGTTGGCAAAGGCAGGCAGTTTCTCACACACGGCTCTATTTTCCATGGCTCATCCAGCAAATTGTACGCTAAGCCTAAAAAAACAGTAAGAAACAAGTCCGTCCAAGAGGGGCCGCGTACAGTGGATTTCACCCCCCCGTCTGCTGGCAGTCTAGCACTGCTATCGGCACTTATTGGGAGGGGGTGGGAAGTGCCCCACGCCAGGCAGACACAAGCAGCAAGATCCTTTCTGCTGCCCAGGGCATGAGGAGCTGCCTTACCAGCAAGGCCACCCAATCCTATTTGCAGCCAGGAGGGACAGTTGGCTTTACTTGTCTTCTAGCATTAACCAGAGCTTCAAGACTTTTGGCCTTGGTTAGAGTCCAAGCAGCACGGATGGACTGCCACTGCCAGCCTTTGTGTGTTTAAAAGTTCAGTTGTCTCTCATGTCCTCCCTCACCACTGGAGGGCTCTGCCTGCACAGCAGCATTTTTCCATGTCTTAGTCCATAATTAAAGCAGCCAAGATAGGCTATTAATTTCCCTACTAATGAAACAGCACTTTATGAAGTGTCATTCTTTCACACATGCCCACACTCTTGAAGTGCAGAGCTCACACTGACTTAAGGCTTGCTAAAAGCAAGAAAGATCACTGGTTTGCATCTGCAAACCCGCACAGGCAATGAAGTAGGTGGCCAAGAAGCAGTTCTGCATCATGCCTGGCCTGATCTGCAGCCCCACATCTGTGACACTGCAAGGAATCTTCTGAAATCCTGATGAATGAAGGACAGCGGGTGGGCTGCAGCTCCGTGGGAAACCACCTGGGAAACGCGAGTTCTGCATCGAAACTGAAAAACACTCAAAAAATGGTTACGGTGAAGGCGCAGACCACACTTCTAAGACAACACTGAAGAGCCAGCTTGCAGAGTACCTCTGCAGGTTAGCTTACATCAGTGCTCCTGCCCTGATACTACGCTTGCTGTGTCACTAAAGTGGCTGTCCTGTTTCAAGAGCTGCTACTTTGAGGGACAGGGGAAAAAAAAACAAAACAACAAAACCAGATGCTTTCATTTCCCAGCATTGCTAGCGACCCTTGGGTGAACACTGGTCCCAGACTTTTTGATGCTGGGTTTTTTTTTTCCCTCACATGCTCGCTCTCAGCCTTCCTTGGCCAGGCCGGCACTGTCCTCACCTCACCACTAACCCCGCTTCCCCCGAGCCTGCATCTGCCTTCCGTCACGGGCCTTGAGGCCCATATTCCTTCCGACTCACCCACCTGATGAGTAACAACGAGGGCAGGGAGTCTGCAGGCTCTCCCGGGTCCCCGGACACCCCCTCCCCAATCCCGGTAGCACCGACCGGGCACCGCCTCGGGCCTGCTGGCCCCGGCCGCCCTCACCCCGGCCCGGGGCCGCCGCCAGGGGGCGCAGCAACTGCAGCGGCGCGCGGGACGTCCCAGTGCGCATGCCCAAC